AAAACATATAGATGAACTTAACTGTTTTCCACTTTTATTCTAATCTTATATATCCACTATCTGACCCACCATGGGGGAACTTCAGAAGGTTTTTCTTCATAGAGAGAGAGCACAGAAAATTTGCATCTCAAAATAATGACTGACAGAAAATAGAAGAGGTATCCGTGGAAGGGAATGGAGGAGGGAAGAGATGAGGGAGCTTTTGCAGTATATTTCCTTAGCAATTATGTGTCTAAAAAGCAAAATCTGAATCTAATCTTGTAATTGTGAAATTTAAAAAAATATTCATCCATACTTATAAGGAGATACATTTGATCAAGCCTCAATCTTGAATTCAACTGGAATTTTGCAAAGTTACACACAGATTGGTACTCTGATTCCTTCATCGCAGACTAATCCTCCTCCAGTGAAATAAATGGGAGACACTCCAAAATAATCACTTGAAGTTGGATGACATCTATACAGAACAATATTAAAGATCAAGGAGTCTACTCTGTGCTGTAGATTGTTTTTAATGACAAAAAATATAAGTGCAAAAAACTTAAGTAAAAGCCTTAAATACTAATTTTTCTGTCACGAAACAGTCACAAATGCAAACAATATAAAAATGCACCTGGAAAAAATACTGGTGCAAACATTTTTTTTAACAAAGATATCATAAAATACCTTTTTTTTCCTACATAGCTTTGAAAAATGCTGTGTTCTAAATATATCTTGAAGTCACTTTTCAGACCATGTCCAAAATCCACTCTTCCTGCTTGAGTTATTTTCATACTTGATAGTGTCTATTTAAATGTTCATGGAAAGAGAAAACACTTCTACCTGCAGACTCAGGAGAAGCTTAAAATCTCTCCTCACTGTATCTTACAAGTAATATTTTAAATCACTCACCAGTTTGCCACCAGTGGTCCAAGACAGGCACCTTGAAGACTTTTTTTGACCATTCTAGTGTGTCCACATCACAGTGCTCACCAGCTACAAATAATGTTCTGAACCTTTAAATAAAAATAAATACATATTTTGATCTGGATGTGGAAAGGAAAACAAGATAATTAATACAATAAATGTCTCTGCTCACCATCCCAGATAAAGGGAAAAGAGGAAGGAGGACTCTTACTCTTTGTATTCTCCTTCCTTCTAAGTAACAATTAGAATATCTGAAATATTATTTTATGCTAATTAATACTTCATCATCTAAAATAAGCTTTATTTTCTGAATGCAAAGACCTTGGGAGACCAGAGGCAAGCAACTGTCAGTCGAAGTAAAAAATAATTAAATGCTCAGTACACAGGAACTAGCTACATATCCATTAGGCAAAAAACAGGAATTAAACAGCAAAAGAGAGTCAGGAAGATATATCTGAAAAATTAATAAAGAAACACACAGAACTAAAAGAAAATACCTGTAGCATAACTCTTAGTTTTAAGTTGTTAATAATGTTCCACTAAACAGATTTAAGTATTTTTCAGCTGTTGAGTCATCTTTTTATAAGCATACTTTGAATATTCACACCCCATTCCTCTCCAGAGGACAGGTACATGCCAATAGCATAAAAGGCAAGCTCTCACAGTGTAAGGACTAGTGACCTACTTGTGTAGATGCAAGGCAAGAGAATGTACAGAGTAAAGCAACATCTGGAGAGAAACATCATGAAGTGTAACAAACCATGTGCCCTAAAATTAAAGGGGTTTTTGACAGCAATGCTTGGCCTATATATAATAAATTTGATGAGTTTATTGTCTTTTAGATCCATTTTAAGATCCACAGTTAGAGGAAAAAAACCTTCCACAAGTAAAAGATTGGAACAAATCACCAAGGTAGGGACCTCTGTAACAGCTAGATATAACAACCTGAGAATGCTCTTATCTGTGAACTATGTAGCAGCAACAATCATAGCAGTAGCCAGAATAATAACTTTGCTATAGGAAAATCAACTTATGGCACATCTAGTTAGAAACTTATGAAAGTCAGGTCTTGAAAAGTGTTACCATGTTGAACTTGAACATGCAGATGAAAGAATTCAACTTCCTTAATTTCAGAGCAGCGTTTCAGCTGACCCTCCTTTTGACACTCCAACATGGCTTGGAGTGGCTTCTTTTTTGGACTAGAAAGCAGGGGGTCAAATGTATAAGTAGCTGTCACATCAAATATGCATAGTTTTCTGTACTCATAAATATTCAACATCATTTTGGTAAACTGCTTTCTGAGCACACTGGATGATTGTAATGAGTGTGACCCCAATCAGTATCTTGCACCTGAATGCTTTAAATTGTAAAGCACAAGCCACTGCAGACAATTACAGTCAATAGCTAACGAGAAGTTGTAACAGAGATAAAGGTTTATGACAGAAGAAACCAAAATATTAAGTAAAAGCCACAAATATGTATTTTATGAGACTTTTTAAAAACTCATGTTCACACACAGGGCACACCTGTTAAGCACTGTTCAATTTACACTATATGGAAAATTCTGTCCTTAGGCATGCTGAAAAAAATATTTCAGCTATGATTTAAAAATTCAATTTATTAATTCATTAACTTTATAAACTGCTGAAAAAATCTGTTAAGTGTCCTTGTTTAAAAACAGGGCTACTAAAACACCAAGAACTTTTAAGAATTGATGAAAAAGTTAAGGTATCTTGTAATCCCCTGAGCCAAAAGCAGAATTCCTCTCTTCTGAACTGCCAGCTTTAATAATCAGATTTAATAATCTGCAGGTTCAAGAGCAACTTTATGTTGTGAGAAGAATAATAATTATCTCTTTGGCAAATTTACAGCACAAAACCATCAAAAAGAGCAAAGTGCCACATGCCTAACGAAGCATAAGAACTATGGAATTATTTTCTCCTATCAAACAGTATAGCAAGATGGGGATGGCAATGGTTATAAAATGTCCCACTGAACAATTTTTTAACAGTCCACTTTAAACTTCAAAGCATGTCAATGCTCCTGTTACTGCAATTATCCATCACTACAATGCAGTTAATTGGGAACCGACACTCCTAACATGAAATTCAGTACAATCAAGCTTTTAGGCCCTATCCAAAAGTCCAGCAGAATGGACTTCAAGTATCACCTGATACAGAGGACAAATCAATGTCCCTAATGGTTCTGACACAATCTTAAATGTTCCAGACAGTGCATACATTTTGGTTTCACTTCTAGCACAAAAGAAACTACATCACCAAACCATTTCCCAAACGTAGAAATGCTCACATGGGTAATAATCTGAGCTTCACTTATCCACATTAAAAGATCATGGAAGTTGTTTTTTAAACTCTGGAATGCACGTACCAGTTTGGGGGCTTTTTTCCTGGCAAAAAAAAACTCTATCTGCATCATGTTAAATAAGCTTTTTCCCCTGAAAAGACAGCAATGAAGGTTCATTTGCACTTCTTAACATAAACTGGAAATAAACAACTAATTTTTAATGCAC